AGCACCAGATGCTGCTTATTTATATGGATGGTCAGAGGAGACCCAAGCAGGGTGCAGGGCCTGAGGCAAATCATCCCATGCGAGGCCCCGCCCCGACTCCGATCCCAGACCTGAAGAAGCTGCCGCCACCATCAGCAGCAGGGGGGAGGGGGTGGGGCGGCGGGTAGCGAGCAGCTGGACGTGGAGCTGCCGCTCCACCCAGCTCCACTGCTCTGCCCGGCTCCTTGGGCAGTCACCCCAGTTCGCCATCTCCAGGCGAATGGTCCTGTGTATGGTATATCAAGAGTGCCTCTAGTGAAAATTCCAACTGTTTCTGGAGTTATTGGTGAATTGGATCCATGTCACTGGGCAGAATTTGATTCATTTCTGTTGCTGAATACATGAGACAAACTGCTTTATGGTTCCTGACTCAGTGTTGCAGCTAAGATTCAGTTCCAGGCCTTAGGAGGTAAATACTATAATACACTATGCATAGCTTGTCCTGATCCTTGGGAGTGAGAATGCGTATCAATCTTCTACTTAGAACTGAAGTGCTTAAAGAAAAACTGGTTATGGCCATGAAGGAAATGTCCAGGTATTATACATATTATAATATCATGCATTTTAGCTCTATAAGCACTTAACCTAGATGTTTGTTACACAGTTTCTACATGTAATAATGGGTGTATTTTTAACTTTAAACTTCTGAATATTAAGTTACTGTTAATTCTAATATTTACCTCTTAGGTAAACAAGATATTCACCTCAACAGAAGCGAGGTGTATATAGTTTAATAAACATACCATCTAATTAACCAAAAATGTGGTAATATCTATTAAGATGCAATCTATCAATTTAAGAATTAGTTCTAGACATCATTGCTGCCATAAAACAAATGTGTTAAAAGCCACCTAAAAAACCTAATCTTTCCAGGGAACTTTCCAAAAAGTAAACCTGTTGGATTTGGATGTTGTAGAACAGTAAATTGAGTTGCTGCATTTATGAGGTCTATTGGTGTGTTAATAAAAAGCAGAAGGATGGGAGTGTAAAGTGTTGGAAAAATAAACAAACAATATTAGAGATGCATGTGCACTTTTATAGTAATCCAACAACCATGGTCAAAGACTAACAAAGTCCTGCCAAAACAGCTCTGAGAAGAACATGAAATCTGTATAGTATAGTAAATATTTGTATTTAAGTCTACTATACAAGTCTTAAAACCAACACTTTTTTTGTTGGTTTTAAGACTCTTCACTCAGACAGCAATCAATTACAGTTACTTAAAGGTTAAGAAAAATATTTGCAAGAGCAACACTCTCTCCACTGACTGCTTTGCTAATTTTACAGAACATGGGGGTATCAAAACTTCTGCATCATTGTATACAGGGAAAACCATACGCACAGAAGGTAATCTAAAAATCTAGTTTGAAACTAGTAACTATACTGTATATAACCAATGGCCCAGCTGCAAAAACTAACTGTTACATCATGCACTGGCCAGCACGGTGCATCCTGAACTAGCAATTGATCCAGCAAGGGCGGATTTCCTTGTGGAAAGCTTAGGCACTATAGTATGCCCCAGGCTAGTGGTTACTGGGTCTGCTACAGAATTACGTTACCAGCACGCTACACTGTCTTGCACACATTGCTGAGTAAAGTCTGTTCCAAAGGGCTACTGTGCCATAGGCTGTGTAACAGGTAAATAGTAATGCAGCCTCTAGAGAAGTGAGAACAGAGCCTGGGTGAAAGCCAGGTGGCACCAATACATTAATCTGCTTTCAGCAGGTGGTAGCAGTTCTCCACCATGGAGCTGGTTCTTTGTACAGCAAATGTCTACTGATAGTTCTTCATTTGTGCATTTCCTACCAAGGTGCACCCCAATAGGCTTACTATTTTGCCTGCCTAATACCTACAGATACATGCAACCTGTGTCCCTCCCTGACCCAGTTCATCCAGATTCATGATGCAAAAAGAAACTGTGTTTTTTAGTTGCCATAATGACAAATTAAACATGAATGAAGGGGACACAGAAAATAGAGACCCCTGGACAAAATTAGCATGTGCCCCATTGGAGAAGTTTTATGCACTAAGTTGAACTGCCCCCTCTATACTGAGCTAGTTCAGCACAGTTCAAGGTAGTTCACCCACTAATACTGCAAACTCAGTATTCCTAATCTCTGCTCTTCTGACTACTCTCCACTGGTTCATCTTTTAACATCTTTGGACAGGCCATCCACTAGTTCTGCCTCCTTCACTCTCCTGGATCTCCTTAAAGCCTTTTTAGCCCCCTCTAAACTCCTGAAGCTATTTCCAAGTCTCAGGACCTCTCCTCATTCATCCATCGTGCTATATTTCCCTTTTCAAAGGGATCACCTTCTTCATTCAATACGCTCCTTATGGCACACTTCCACCTCAACTTTCACTTCAAATGGATTGTAGGGTCTTGTTAGAATGGTAGAAATGAGATACTTCTCACTCCTGTGCTCTCCAGCACAAAGAACCATCTATAGTGTTGCTAGTGGACGAACTTACAAAACTTATAAACAAATGGAACGTCCAGCTACGTTTGAAAAAAATCGACGTATCATAGTAAGTTCTAGGTACTCATTTTTCCTTCTTTTTCTTGTAGAGCTATTCCATGTTTAAGCCTATAACATATTTCTAGTTAAGGTAGTTTATCAAGAGATAAACTATCTGTTTATCTATCTATAAACTATCTGTTAAGAGAAAAAAATCCCAACTGTGACTTATCCTTTCAATAAAATGGATGAAATAAAAATAAGGGGAATTTAGTCTATCAAGAAAACCTCTTGGCAGATCT